TTCCTGCTGGACGTTGAGGCTTTACATTGGGCATCACTGTTGTTACATAAAGTTTAATTGAGGACTATTTGAAGCGATTATTGACATCATCTTTTCAGTGTGCAAGATTCCCACATAAAAATATACTTTGGTCAAAAGACTACCTCTTAAAACAAAAGAATTATCTGTCCTTTTCCTTATAGAGGAAGGATGTGTTTGATATCACTGAAGTTTTCTTTATTTCTGTTTTTATTTCAGCATTTCTTTATTTCTGTTACTTTGATTTCAATGAGCAATGCAATAGCATGAAGATTATTGATTTAATTCATTGATGCCCTACCCAGGGTACAAATGAAGAACATTATTATTGTTATTATCTATTATTCATAATAATATTTTTACGTAATTCAGAGGATAGTATAAGCATTGTGAATTGTTTTTTTCTCCTTCTGGTGAAAAAATACGCGAGAATGTTAGGGATAATGGATTGCTCATGTGCAGCACTTTAAGTATTTTGATTGTTTACTGGGTATTTCCTGCAAGGTTATGCAGCTTCATTTTCTTAAATAATTGGGAAACTGAGATTAATTTTTAGGTAAGAGTCAGTTGTCCAAGATAATGCTTAAACAACTTGATATTAATGGGTCAAGATGACTGCAGAAGATGTATGTATATTAATTCAAGTGTTATATTTTCATCTGGTTGAAGTTTCCTGTTTAGAATGTCTCTTCAACAGCTTTCAGGATAGGAGAGTTAGTTTGGTGATTGGGTTTTAGCAAAGGATCTTAAATCTTTTGTCTTGGACTTCATCATAATTGCGGATATCTTTGCACCCAATTAATTACATGAAGCCAAATGTATCTGTCTCAGAAGGAAGATTTGGCACCTATAGGATTCAAATATGCAGTTGAATTATATAATCTGGGATGATGGTTCCCCTGATTTTGGGGTGAATGTAACAGATCCTTGTTATGCGTGCTATTATTCAAGGGCTTTAGAAGAAGTTTGAGGGGCGAGACCAGTCCATTTTACATGTTAGAGATAATCAAGTAATCTGTTTCTAATAATGTTAGTCGACAAAGAGAATATTCATCCAATGCTATTAATAGTTTTGCATTTGGCTGCATCTAAAAATAAATGTTTTGTTTTAAAACCTTTTACAGTAAAGACATTTAAGCCATACAGTCATATGTTATACACTGACTCACAAGGTATCCTTGCTGCCCTGATGCAAAGTCAGAAACAAGTGATGTCCCTAACCGGTGACTGAGCACAGCCAGCCTCCAAGGTGTGTTCGACAGCCTTTAGAAAGATCATCTCTATCGTGCTGTCAGAGAGGTGCAGGGAGACTAGTATGAGGTGAATAATGTATTCCCTGCCTGGGTGGAATCCTGATAAGTTTATTATATTCCCAGCTAAAGAGCCACATTTCCACTGAGTGATTCAGAGATACCCTAAACTATGAAAACGAACCTTATGTGATCTAAATTGACTTAGTTATGCAGGTTAGAAAAACCCATATCTCTTTGTCTTGATGTAAATCAAGCACAGAATAGGATGATCTTACCAAGGCAGACCAAAGGAAGGGAACAAAAGTACAAGGACATAATTGAATCCCTTTGCCTCAGTCAAGTCAGAAGGAGATAGAGCCTCCTTATCCAACAGCAGTGGAGTTTGGGCTCTAATGGAAAGGAAATAATGTGTCTAATTATCTTCTAATGCTGATTGTAGTGCATCTGCATGAAGTGAATGAGTGTCATCACCCAGCATGGCATTTATGCATGTTCAGGCACCATTAGTTATACACTCATTAGTGTCTGGACATGGGGAGAGAGAAAGGATGGAAATGTTGAAATGTAGCAAATCAATAAAATAGTGCTAAAATACTTGGTTCAAAAACTAGATGCCCCTTTTCAGACGCTTGTCATTCTTCAGCAAACTCGTGATTTCTTGTCATTGTAATAGGTTTTAATATGTTCCTCAATAAATAGATAGCACAGATTCACATCAGACTTCTGCTTACCTAAGAGTTACTAGATAAAAAGCAGCAAATGCTACCAGGCAGACTAAACAATTTTCACAAAAACCTGTATAAAAATAGATATTCCTACTTTCACTGTCACAAATCTGGCTGCTGTGACTTGAGCTGAAGAACTGGAAACTTTCACTGAGTGCTGTCCTTGTAGGCAGGATGTTGTAATAGAAAACATCAGTAGATTGCAGACCAGTTATTTCATGAGCCTTATAAAAGAACCAAAGAAAATCCCACTTTATGTGGCTAGATTTGAAAACAGTTAGAGGAGTTCATTAAAATTGTAACCAACGTAATTTGTTGCACAAAACATGTATAGAATGGAGAACCTCCTTACTTTCTGATTCCTAAGTTCTTGTTCAGGTGATGTTTATTTAGTCTGACTGGGATCCTTAGCATGTGCCCCAGTGGAAATAACAGTGAAGATGTACAGGAAATACTGTATTACTCCAGCTTCAGCTATCAGTGAAAAGATTTCATACTACTGATACAAGCTGATACCAGCTGTCAGTGAATGCAACGAGATGGCTGAAGGTTATGCCTGTAGCTAAGCACCTGGTTGAACTGATTGACAGAAAGATTGGAATGCAGTGACAGTGCTGATAAGGCACCCAGTTCTGAGCATCTGGGTCCCAAGTGTCATAAATTCGGCTCCATGTATAAAGAAATTGTGTTGTAGTCTATATTTATCTCGGTATACTTGTTTGGTTATGATTAAAACTGAAGGGTATTTTCCAAACCAGGAACACACTTTCCCTTGAAAATGACAGCAGGCTATAACTGAACTCCGCTCACATCATAGCTGAAGGGGTGGAATCTTGCCGGGGCTCCCTGACAGGGTCTGCAACGCGCTGGGTGTTCCCTGCAGTGCTGCTGGCTTCAAAGATCCATGATTTCCATTCAGATGCTCGAAGGCTTTCCCTAGTGTCTGAAAACTCTAGGCAGACCTGCAGTGCCAGCACCAGAAGTGCTGTGTCAACCCTCTTCTCGCCTGCCTCACCAGATCAAGGTCACGGTAGAATTTTGTGCTGCTTGTTTTCTCTAGGCCATTAAAAACCAAGTATCGCTGGTACAGTGCCAGACTCCTCAGTGACACTGGTGCCTGCTTTGCGACGGGGGCTGGGTAGTTTGTTTCCCATCCCTTTTCCCATTGGTGTTAAACAGAGATGATGTGGGAAAAGTCTTGCCTATAGTACATGTTTCTGGTACTTACGAATATGTTCATCTTTACATCTCATTTACCACAAAGTTTCTTCTCTCAGAGAAACACAGTCTTGCTGCCTCAGAAGCCACTCCCCTGGTGCCTACACCATGCTGACACCGTTAATCCCACTGTCTTCCTCACTGCATGTCCTGCCAGTGCTTTCCAGCTACCTTAGAACCTCTCTTCACTTTATCTATCATTTCATTCGTAATCAAACTATGATATTTTGTACCGTTATAAAATTAGCCTTCTGTGCCTGTATTTATACAGACAACTGTTACGCTTTGTCACAGGCTGTTCCTCATGCTTGAGAGCCACTCCACAGATTCACAATGCCATTATTAAGTTCTTATTAATGTACCATTATTAGTATATTAATGTACCATTATTAGTACATTAATGTACCATTATTAGTAGTTCTTAAGATGGTTTTATCAACAGTTTTTATTCAATGGGCTACCTCACTGTTGTTCTTCAAATCTCCTCATAAAATTCTTTGTTTCAATGTCCATAAAATGAAAGACGTTATTAACAGGGGAGCCACCACTTTATTGAGGCTATGGACTGTCATACTGACTGATGTTTTCCGATCATTCCTGGAATTTGCTTATCTGTGTCTTTACATAGTTCATAATTTCACTGGGGTAATATGATGTTTTAGTTCTGTTTTTAAATGAAGTATATTCTTCCAGTAAACTCCAGCTAAAATATTTTCATGAAATTCCTGTTTACAAATATATTTTTAATCCTTCTTTCTCTTTACAGAGACATCAGCAAGAATCAAATATCTGACATTGCGCCCGATGCGTTCAAAGGCTTGAAATCTCTTATTTCATTGTAAGTAGAAAATAGAACTGAATGGGCATTTGGGGAGAGCGTGCATGTAGGAGAAATAAAAATGATAATGTGCTGTCTGGGAGAACTTACGTTTCTGTGTGCAATTGCCAGCTTGCGTGAAGCATCTAATCTTTTGTAAATGAAAAATTGGTCATGAAGGTTAGAAGGAGGAACGGTTTACGTATCTCTAGTAAGCTTTTTTATAGATGAACACCCCCAAGGTTACTGACTTGTTCACTTCTTCACAGCCAGGGCATTAGCTGGTCTGCTATACATGTGCTAGTCTGCAGGCTAATCCATGCCCCCCAACTCACCATGGCACACAAAAACCTCATCATACTTCAGACGCTGTTTGATGGTGTTAATCAGGGAGAAGTTAAGGGAAAGACTTTCATACTGAATTTTTCTTCTGTATTAAAGAACTGAATTTGTACTCTCTTGTGTGTTTTTTTTCTTTATTTGATTTTGGAGGTTTTTTTCAAACTAGTTAGGGAAGAACCTAAGCTCTTAAGAAAATGCTTATTTTTTTTAGGTGTAATTACTACATTATTAAGCTGGAAGGTGACTAAAATAGGACTTCATACAGAAGATAAAAGGAAGGTGGGATTTCTTGACAACCATACATTTCTCCTTATAGAACACAGAAACTGTTTTAGCACCAAGTTGAATTTAAATGCAGCTATATTTCAACCTAGCTACCTGCAGCACTATTAAACAGTGGAGCTTTAAATGGGTAAAAGGACCGGTACAAGGTCAGAAGCTGCATATGGAGAATGAAGTAGACTAGAGTGTTAGAAAGAGCCCCAGGTTGACAGAAGAGGGTAAGCTCAACTAGAATGATGTTTACCTGCGTTAATTTCGAAGACAGTTTGAAAACATTTAGCTCATTAACATTCATATAAAAGTTTGATTTTTAAGTGTGTAGTTTATTTCTAAAAGCTGCCATATTTTATTCTCTGGATACTGGATAATTCTAACAGCCTATATAACTTGTTGATGAGTGCTAATATTAGAAGGCTATTCAGTACTAAACTTATATGTTGCAGTAAACTTCTGAGCCAGTACGCAGAAGGATGGGCCTTTTTTTGTGCCCTGAATCCAGCTGGGAGAATGCCAAAAATATATATTAAGTGTTGCTAGCCTTTGTTGAATAGTTAGGGCAGTGTTATTCAACATGTTGTGGAAATGGTCAAATCCCTCAATGCTCTCTGGAAACAATTCAGTAAGAGAATGACATTTACTGAGCACTACAGTTTTGGCTTAGTATGAAACTGCTGCCGATGTTGCAATGCTACAGCTTTCTGGTCTTGGCAAAGCTCCTGGCTAGGAGCAAGCTGGACAGGAAGACTTTTCTGCTGGGGTCAACTTCCTGACTCAGAAGTTATTCAACTTTAGCCATAGCTAATTCAGATACCCCCAGGTGGCCTCAGGAGTGGGACAGCACGCATCGGAGAGGTCAGAGAGGAAATGAGAATATAAACTGGGCAGGAATTTATAGTGTTTTGACTTGCACACAGAAGCAAGTGAAATGATTGTGTATTCTCTGCCCAGGCATCCAAAATGATATTTTAAGTAAATGATGTTTAAATATGTTTATATCTGAGTGGGTAAAATAGTGCTTAAGTTAATTCTAGGAGATTACAAGGGGAAGAGAGAGGGCAGAGATACGAGATGCAGCACAAAAAGGGCTATAGTAATGGAACTGCCTCTGAGCAGTCTTTCCTTTTTTCACCATTTGTCTCTGCCTCAGTTTCCTTCTACTTCAGCCACACAAAGCTGTTGTAACACACAGTCTATTTCTCCTCTCAGAGACTGGTTTCTAGAACAGTATCAACTCCAGCCTTGAAATTGTCAGCGACTTCCTCTAGGTTCAGTTGCCCATTGTGCTTGCCATTGGCTTTTACATTCTTTTGAAAGGTTTTACTCTTGCTGTTCGTTGCAGGTAGGTCTTAACGAATGTTTTTGCTGTGGCTGCTAGGCAAGAGTTGGTTCCCTGATCTTTCACAACCTGTCGCCCAGACCTCTGGCAGGTTCTTCCCTGCTGGTCACTTCTGTAGTTGTTTCCGTTTCTGAGCCCCAGATACCTTTATGGAGCAAGATTATCTGCTGTTCTGCGGAATCTGGGTTTCTCTAAAGGAACCTCCGCCACGTTTCTACAGTAGAGGATCTTCTTTCCTCTGATCTCTGGTATAGCCACCAGTCAAGTTATGTCAACCACAGAGAGACAAGTAAATGCAAGAGAAGATGACTCCTTTGAAGTGCCAGCCCTCCCAATGAAACTGCCAAAAGGGAAAGAACAAGGAGGTGAAATGAAGTAAGACAGTTTGCTTACTAGTGTTTTCTCTTTTAAGCGACAGTCTTTTTGGGGCCTCAGGCACCAATAACTTTAGTCAGCTGCATGCCCTGAAGGAATGCTGCTCAGCATACAATGCTTCAGTTCAGCTGAGAGTAACTCCTATTTTTCATATATGTAAGTCAAATGTGATTGGTGGCATACATTTTAATGAGACACTATTGAGGTTTAATCTGTGCACAGAGCAGCTGGACTTTTCAGCTAGCTGAGTTAAAACAAGAATAAAGAAGGGGAAAATACTAATGCACAAATGAAAGTAAGCAACTTTGTTTCTATTAAAAATGAAGTACTGCTGTACTGCCTAAAATCCTTGCTTTTTTTCCCTGCATTATTCTCATTTTGTGCTCCTCCCTTTACTCCCTGCTTGCATGCAATTGCAGTGCTCCCTGTGGGTCTAAGAGAGTGAAAGTGCTTATCTGGAAGACAGCCAACATTGTTAGCCTAGCTGGCTAATGGAGGCCTATATATAGTGGGTTGCTACTCTACTTTCTTCTCCAGTTAACTTGGGTTAGTGTTTCCAGGCAGAACTGTTTCTCAGAGTACTCTGCCTATTGGACCGATGTAGAGATGGAAGGAAAAACGGAGTATGACAGTTTTCAAAACACAGGAACGTGTATTACAGACACAGTTGCCCCTAAAACGTAGAAAACTTAAATCTTTTAAAAGTGCTAAGTGATCCGTATGCTAGCAGGTCATAAGTTTTTGTTTTAAATCTATATATTTTCTTTAACAAGAAATCCACCTATGGGAGTCAAACAGGTCACAAAATCTTAACGCTTTAAATAAGCCGTTTCTACCTGAGGTTTTCTCTGCATTTAGCAGCAGAAAGGCAAGCATATTCTTGAAAGGACTCAAGACTTCTCCATTCTCCACACACAGGAAAAAAAAGTTCTTTTCTCCATGCCCATTTTTCAGGGGCATTTTGTTCCCTATTTATATAATGACTGTGCGGAACAAGGAGTATCTACTCTGTTTCTCTTAGACATTAAGAAACTTAGACATTAAGAAACCAGGATCATTCTTCTTTAAGAACATTTTTTTCTTCTTCCCAGAGTTTTCTGGCTTTTCCTTTTCTCCTTGATGTGTCACATGCAGGCGGCACTGTGTGTCACTGGTCAGCTTCAGGTCTGTGTGTTCTGTGGATTTAATTCTGTTACAGTGTCTGAAGTTCCCTTTCAATATTTAGGCACCAGGGCTTAGATCTTTAGCATATTTTTGGTATGAAACAAACTTGAAAGCTGTTTATGGACAAAACTGAAGATACAGTAGGACCCAGCCTCTGGTTTTGAGAGAACAGAGTTACGGGGAGTTTGCTGTAAAGCTGTTGTGGGGAATGGATGGTGTTGTGGATCAAGGCCTGAGAAAAAAGGTCTTTGGTCTTAAAGATGCTACTGTGGAATTTGGGAGGAAGAAGTTATGTTATGTTGCATAATTTCAGCGGTAGCTATTGCATAAATAAACTGCCTGTCTAAAACAGTCTCTTGAAATTTGGAAATACTTCTCTGTCTCAAAGAGATGATACAAGGGTGTATACATTGAAGGCTGTGAGATGTAGTGATACTGCAGTTACTTGGGACCATATGAAATATCCACGATGAAAAACAAATAATTAGAATGATTTGAATCTAAAAAAAAAGTAAGCAGGATAGATGTTAACTGAACTGGGGCAGTGTAGCCATGGCTTTCGTGTTGGAGGGATTACTCTTGCCATCCAGTACTTCTTTCCATATAAACATGAGAGCAAATGTTACCCTTGCACTGAGAAGTGTGGCAAAATTGGTTGTTTTCAAAAGAATGTTATCTTAATTTTAAGCAAAAGTTTGAGAAATGCTATATTTGTAGTACATTGTTTGCGTTACATAGTTATAATTGCACTTTGCTGGAGTTGGTGTGGTTAATAACTCACTGCAGAACATGGGGGCTACGTTAGGAATAATTTTGTGTTTCGAGATCACGTCGTGCTTTCTGAAGTAAATTAATTTTTCATTTAATCAACTCAAAATCTGTCTAATATCAGTGAGAGGATTGTATCAGCATTTGGTTATTGTTAATAGTATCAAAGATAAAAGTTATTCCTGGGGTCAGTAAACTTCTCACAAATGTAGGTTTGGAAGGCCACATCCAGACTGTGTGGGGACATTTTATGAGATATGACAAAATAGTCTAAGCCTTCAGTGTGTTAAACTGAATGAATAAATTTTAGGCCGCTGCAGAGGGAGAATTCCTTTGCTTTTGTTCACATACTGAATTAGGCTAGTGAACAATTTAAAAGCTGAGATCAGCCTGGGCACAAAGACAACAGACAGCTTAGATTTTGACATACCAGTCCCATTTAGACCATCATCTGCTCTGTGATGATGTATGTGGTGTCATTCATGGTGATTTGAAATCTGCAATAAAACACTGTCTATTGCAATAACTGCCAAACTTGTTTTAAGGTAACAAATTGCTTTGGATAGTTTTACTGTGATTTATTTAGCCTAACTTGTTCTGAAGAAATATGAAATAGTGCAGGAAAAAAAATTACATGCCTGTGTTTCTTTCAGATATTAGAAATTTATTGCTCGTTTTACTCCTATCAATTCCTCCTCTTTTGAAAACTTGAATTCTTATTGAGCCTGTGCCATTGTACGTAGCTGGGGAAATA